TATTTCAAAAGTTTGAAGTGTTACTAAAAGTTGCTTCTAAAATTATGTGTATGTGGCAAGGAAAGTGGCTTAAGGGAAGACAAGTCTAGTCAGTGGTCTTTTTCCTTACACTATCTGTAGCAAGATGAAACTTGTGAAATGGTTATAGCAAGGGTTGTTATGTTGATCCTTGGAAATGATATGTGCCCATGGTTGTGATGGGTTGGTTATGAGAAATAACAGGTTGCGGTGATCAATGGATTTGGGTTTTAGTTGAGTTTTGTGAGAAGGGGCTGCATTTCATTATACTGTGCGAAGGCATTTATGGCAAAAATGTATTATGTGATTTTCCATTTAACAGTGGATTTATCTCTTCCTCATTGGTTGAGGTTGTAGCATCATTGTTCATTGAGTATGAAGTTAAATTTGCATGTATTGATTGCAGTTCTTGCCCTGATTATCTTATGTTTTTCCTGTGTTCTCTCACACAATTATCATCTTTTTTGTCATTCATGGGTATAGATTATAACTACATTTTGGTAGTTGGATTTTTTAAACATGATGATGTGGCAGCAGAAGTTTCATTGAGATTCAAACTTCTCAAAGTTTCATATATGTTTCCTTTCTTCTTCTTCTTCTTCCCTTTTTTTTTTTTTTTTTTTTTTTTTTTTTTTGTTTTTTTTTTTTTGGTTATCATTTTCTTGATTTTTTATTTATTTATATGCATTTTTGACATTGGGCTTCTCATAGGTTCATGAAGTGAGCATTGTGAAAGTTGTTTGGGTTCCTCCAGAATATGGTGGGGGAGTTGCATGCATTTGTGCAGATGGAACTTTGTCATTGTGGGAGGAGGTTGCTGAAGGTATCCAATGAATTTTCTAATGCATTTTCTATGTTATTTACACCCAATATCATAGTCTAAAATTAGGCAGTGTTATACATTGGCCAATTCTTTTTTATTTGCATTTAATATGTTCATCTTAGGAACAACTTTGTAGGTAACTCTTTGCTTGGGGTTTCATTTTGGTTTGTTCATTGTTTGTTCTCTTTACTCTTTTCTCTGATAGATTTTTATATTCTTTTTTTTGTAATCTTTTCATTTTAAGCCAAAAACACCCATCTTTGTGGCTCATGATTAAAAATACCACAACCTCATCATTGTGGAGGAGTTTTCTGTTTAAAAATTCTGTTTGTGTACCATTTTCCTGTCTAATAATCAGGAAAAATATTATTCTAAGGGGTTATTTGAGATGTTCTAAATAAGTGTACTTTTTGACTTTTTATGAAATATGGGTTGAGTTTGAAGTGATGTGGTAGAGAGGTGATGTGACTTAAATAAGATGATGTGATTTAAATAAGATATTAACTTTTTGACTTTTTTAGGGGACTCCAAACCTAGCCTTAGTATCCTAGAGAGCCTCCCATTTTGTGACCTGTGAACAAAGCCTCAGTGTTATTTTGAACATTGTTTTGTCATTCTATAGATACAAAACCCCTTCAATGGAAGCTTTGCAAAGCCTTTGAGACAAGTTCAAATCAAGTGCTAGATATGCAGTTTGGAGCATCATTCACAAGTTTGAAGTTGGTAGGTATTGGCAATGGGTATCACCTCAGTTTTTCTTCATTTAATTTCTTAGAACTGCATATGGGGAATCAAGTTTGCTAGCCCTGTCAATGAAAATATGGTAATTTTTGTATTAATTTGTAGTAAAAAGAGTTTCCAAGCCTATTGATCAAAAAAAAAAAGTTTCCGAGCCCCTTTTTAGCTCTAAATGGCTTTGGGGTTTTCAAGCTTCTATATGTTTCTATATTTTAAGTTGCTTTTTAAAAGGCACTAATTTTCTCAAAGTTTTATTTCACTATCCTTTTAGTTGTAGTGTTCTATGGCAACACAGTATGAAAAGAAATTGTAAATTTTCATTTTGATGATGGCATATTTTGCTATGGTGTTTTGTTTGACTTCCTTTACAGGTTGCTGCATATTCAAACGGCCACGTGAAAGTGTATGAGCTCCTAGATCCATTGGAACTGAAGAATTGGCAACTTCAGGTGCTCTTTGTAATTCTATAATGTTACAACCTATATTACATGGACTCCTAAAAATAAATCAAATACTCGTGTGACGTGTTGGAGAACCAACACTTGGACAAGGGTGCGAGATATTCTTATGTATTTGTTAACCATCTCAGGCAACTAAATTCAAGTATTAAGTTGATGAACAGTGTTTGCCAGGCATTGCCACCAAGCTGCTCTGTTTATGCTACAATATGTAATATATGTGATGAATGCATGTACATAAGGTCCGCCATATGCTGCAGTGGAGGAGCAGGAGGGAGTGAATGTGCTCGGCGGCGCGGGAAACACAGAGGCAGCACCGTCAAGGGCCGCCCAGGACAGAACTAGTAAGCAAGCTTTGAGAATGGTGGCTAACCCCTCCGCCTTTGGGGCTTTAAAATCACATGTTTTAAGCTCTAAAAACTCGAAAAATCAGTGGCTAAATGTAAAGAATCAAGTGGGAAACAT